AGGCCATGCGGGAGGCTTTTGGCCGCCCATGGGCCGCGAGCCAATTTTATATTATTATCAATGTGAATGTTAACATGTCAATGTGAATATTCACATTGTCAACGGGCCGGACCGGACCCTCCCCAGGCCGCCCATGGGCCGCTGGCGGGTTTCGCGCCGCCACGGGATGCAGGCCAATTTTACACTCTTATTAATGTGAATGTTAACATGTCAATGTGAATATTCACATTGTCAACGGGTCGGACCGGGCCCTCCCCGGGCCGCCCATGGGCCGCCGGTGGGTTTCGCACCGCCACGGGATGCAGGCCAATTTTACACTCTTATTAATGTGAATGTTAACATGTTAATGTGAATATTCACATTGTCAACGGCCCGGGCCGGCTCGGCTTGCGAGCGGGTTTCGGGCCGCCCATGGGCCAATTTTACATTCTTACCAATGTGAATTTAAAAATATGAATGTTCACATCATAAAATTGCTAACCGTTCAAAAAATATTTATAAGGGTATCAAAATTAAATATAAGGGTATAAGTGTCTAAGAAAATAGTGTAAATAAAAAAAAATGACTTTATAGAATAAAACTACACATACATGAGACTAAATGAGTTAAAAAATCTCTTCATGTACTTTTTAGGTTAAAACACTTCTAAATAAAATTTATCAATAAAAATCTCATATTTTTATTTTTATATTTTTTACAAAAAAAAAAATCAAAAAACTAACTTCCGACCTTGTACAATAAAAGAAGCGATGTACACATGTTACGCAAAATCACAAATGACCACTGTCATCATTACATGTGTCAGACTCGAATGAGAAGGTGAATGGTCACCAGACTCAACACTGTTGCTATTTATAGTGAAAAATTATTTAATAATTTCAAAATATTATGTATTTGTATTTCTTAATTAATTATTATTTAATATATTTTTTATATTTTTTAATTATTCAACATAATATATGATTTATTTATTTTTTTCATCAATCATAATGTTACAAAATATCAAGTGTCTATATTCTAAAATTATTAAATAATTACCCATTTACCGCTGTCCTCATACCCATCGCAACCTGCGTAGATTAGCGAATGCCACCGACATGAGAGATTCCGTCGACCCTTATCAGCAATGTACCACGACCCGATCAATAAATTATAATAAATGAAGGAATTTTAAAATATTAAAATTGATAATTGTATGAAATTATTTTCGTTTTTGTAGAAGAGTTTGGTGGTGGTTGGGAGAGAGAGGAATAAGAGAAAGGAAAGGAATGGCAGTCAATAGTGGTGGTGACTAGGGAGAAGTTGCCGTTGGTTGCTCACAAAAAGGGTAGGTAGCAACGATTCGATCACCGATTGTTGGCGAGGGATAATAGAGAACAAAGAAGAAATTGATCCATGAAGAATAGTGCAAAGTTTATAGAAGATGAAATATTGGCAGAGTTCACCAATAAGCTAATCTGGTTTTTCTTTATTGGCCCCGTTTGATAGAGTTGTGGCAAAGTGATTATAGATTATAACTTACAGCTGTGAACATAAGCTAGTAACATGTGTTGATGCAGCTGTAAGATTATGGATTTAAGCAGTAGAGTAGTGTTTGGTAAATAAGCTGTAAAATACCTTTTTGCTATATAATTGTCATTTTGCCTTATAAGATATAAAATTTATGATTTCATTTATAATACATTTTTCTTTTCATTTTATTTTATTTTTTTTTTCACCTTATTTTCTTTTCTTTTTTTTTCTTTTTTTTTTCTCTTCTTTCTTTGTTAATTTTGTTTAATTTATTAATTCATTAAAATTAATATTCATGTTCTAATTTTTATTAATGTTGTGATTTCATTACATATTATTTTTTATATATTCATTTTAATTATTTATATCTGTATTTATTTTCTTTATTATTATTATTATTAATTGTGATTTTAGTATAAAAATTATCAATTTGCTCATCAATTATTAAAATTAGTATCAATTATTAATTATTATTATTATTATTATTATTATTATTATTATTATTATTATTATTATTATTATTATTATTAATTTTTATTTTTATTTTTTTATTATTAATTCTTTATTATTATTTATTATAGTAATTCTTTATTAGTAATTCATTTAGTAAAATTATATTTTTTTCATTAATGGCCTAATTAGCATTAATTAATTGTTTTTCATTTTTTCATTATAAATTAATTAGCATTATTATTTTTTATTCATTAATTATTATTTTTTTTAATTACAAAAACATTGAACCTCCACACACACACAAACACACACAAAAAAACCAATCTAAAAACCCTAGCTCCGGTGCTAGGGTTTCAGATTGATCCACAAAGAAAGAGCCGTTGTCACACCGGTGTCGATCGCGAAGAGGGAGAGAGAGCTAGGGTTGAAATGTTCAGATCGCGATGATAAACCCAGAATTTTGTAACATCTTCGATCATCACTACGGCCATAGCTCCGAGATCACGATGGTTCAAATCGCGATGATAAAAACATAGAGAAACCTTGCCGGAGGCCAGATTGCGCCGGAGGCTGTCACGATGGAGGCTAGATCTTTAGCAGGCCGTCGCCCTTCGCCACCGCGAGCCTCTCTAGGGCGGTGATTGTCACTTTTAATCGATTGTGTTTCCTTCAAATTTGAATCCGAACACACAGAGAGACAGAGGGAGAGAGCGAGAGAAACAGTGAGACAGAGCTAGGGTTCGCCGAAAATCACCTCCCTCGTCGAAAATCGCCTCTCTAGTTCGGGCGAGGGAGAGAAATGAGTGAGTTTGGCTTATATACGTGGCACACTGGTAATAACTTGAAATGGTGTCATTTTGCCCCTCAAACCCCCAGCTGCGCACTTAAGCTATAAACTTAAGCATCCCCATACCCACTTTCCAAATAAGTTGAAAATTAGCTTTATTTAAGCTATAAGTTGGTGAAATAAGCTAAGCCAAACACATGTTTTTAGCTTAAATTAAGTTTAAGTTGAAATAAGCTGCTTATAAGTTCTACCAAACAGGGTCAATATACAAATTTAATCATTGTATAAAATCCAGTGATCGTGTTTATAAAATAATTTATTAATAATTAAAAAAAAATTATCGTAAATATTTTAATAAAGTGTTAAATGGTGGGTTTAATTTTTGAGACTCAATAACAATACCCAAAATTTTATTGAAAATAATAATAGCACAATCTTGAGTAGTGGCAACACTACATCATATGGTACTTTTTGTTATTGTGATTAGTTTTGACAATAGAATTTTTGTTTAGTTTGATACAAGTTATTTATGTTATCAAGTGACACACAAAATATATATAGTTTATTTTTCCGTGCATCGCACGAGTTACCGCTAGTATATATATATATTTGTAATTTGTGAAAAATAACGTCACGTGATAGCATATTGACATATAAAAATTTCTCCTAGGCATGTATCTAGTCCAACTAATTTTTTTAGGAGTTTTACAATTTTGGCTATATTTGTTTAATGGATTTGGACTATTATTTATTTTATTTTTTTTACAAAAACAACATGGGACTAAGAGCATATTCATAAAGAGTTTTTTTTAATTTGTGTGTTAAAAATTAAAAAATAAGATCTATTTTTATGTATCAAGTGATTTTTAATTTATAGAGTAAATGAATTGTGTGATTAAAATAAAATTATGAATTGTTTTGGAAAGTAAGTTAAAAATTAATTTTTTAATTTTTTTTAAATATATATATATAATAAAAAAATAACGTGACTTAAAAAGTTAAAAATCCAAAAAAATAAAATAAAATTAACCAAGATGTGAAAACAGGCTTAAGATTTACTGGTATCATTTTTCGAAACGTGTTCACTCTCTAGAATTCCCTCCTCCCGTGCTCTCTCTCTCTAGAACAGGCATAGCCGGTAGTCGAAAATTCATGGAGGCGTCGTAGGCCTTGTTTGGTTTGTTTTTTAAAAAAAATTTTCTACAAATAAATTTTTAAGAGTAATCAAATCAAATAAATTTTAAAAAAAAAAAATTAAAAATTTTGTTTGGTTACTTACTTTTCAAAATCACTCTCTCTCTCATACTTTTCAAAATCCAAAAACAACATGGGACTAAGAGCATATTCATAAAGAGTTTTTTTTAATTTGTGTGTTAAAAATTAAAAAATAAGATCTATTTTTATGTATCAAGTGATTTTTAATTTATAGAGTAAATGAATTGTGTGATTAAAATAAAATTATGAATTGTTTTGGAAAGTAAGTTAAAAATTAATTTTTTAATTTTTTTTAAATATATATATAAAATAAAAAAATAACGTGACTTAAAAAGTTAAAAATCCAAAAAAATAAAATAAAATTAACCAAGATGTGAAAACAGGCTTAAGATTTACTTATATCATTTTTCGAAACGTGTTCTCTCTCTAGAATTCCCTCCTCCCGCGCTCTCTCTCTCTAGAACAGGCAAAGCCGGTAGTCGAAAAATTCCTGGAGGCTTCGGCCTTGGTTTGTTTTTCAAAAAAAATTGTGGGAAAAATTTTTTACAAATAAATTTTTAAGAGTAATTAAATCAAACAAATTTTTCAAAAAAAAATTTCAAAATTTTGTTTGATTACCTACTTTCCAAAATCACTCTTTCGCTCATACACATCAAGTCAATCATTTTTTTAAAAAAAATTTTCCCAAAATAATTTTCCAAAACTATTTTTAAAAAAAAATAAATCAAATAAATTTTCGTACTTTTTAACTCAAAAATTACTTTACAAACATAAAACAAACACAAACCATTTTATTTGGAAAAAAGCCTAAGACCCAGTGGGGTCCCTGGGAGTCGTGTGTGTAAACTCGTGATTGGTCCCAAAAAAAAAATTATTTTTTCTTTTTTCTTTTCAATGAATGGCAGCGCATCACGTCACTGGTCGAGCGAGCCACTGGGGTCTGAAGCAGCGCTGGTTTTGTTTGGTTTCCTCCCGTTATCTTCACATCCCCGACCCCTCTCTCTCTCTCTCTCCTTCCTCTCCCTATATATATATATATAGATAGATGAGCTGTGCATGAATCAAAATAATTCTGCTCCTGTTCGACCTTTCTGCAACCTTTACATATTTACCACTCGATGTCCCTAGTAATTACAGTCACACCATTCTGGTATGATAGCCACCGCCGCCGCTGACAACCGGGAAACTGAGAGTCCACTCTCCTCCCCAGCTCTCGGCTTCCCTCGCCTCTGGTTCTTCCGCTACCGGCGCTTGAGGTAGCCAGTCAATCCAGCTCGTTTTTCATACTCATAATCAATATATACAGTGGTGTTGTTTATATACATACTTACGATGCCGAACTGGGGGAGTCACCGGAGAGGAGGACAGGAGGGGAAGAACCGGAGGGGGAAGCTGACGGAGAAAGCGTCGTCGTTTCACGGACGGAGTCCTGCGGCCATGGCCGGGCAGCTCGTCAGGCCGAGAACGGTGCCGGACCTGCTCTCCGGGAGGAATAGCGGTGATGTGTCGCCGGAGGAGAGACCGAAGCTGACGAAGTTGCTTCTCAACGTGACCGTTCAGAGGAGCCTTGGGGCTGTGCAGGTGTTGATTTCGCCTGAATCGACGGTCAGTGATCTGATTGCGGCGGTTCTCCGGCAATACACCAAGGAAGGCCGGCGATTGATCTTGCCTTCCACAGATCCCTCCGTCTTCGATCTCCATTATTCGCAATTTAGCTTAGAAAGTAAGCTATCTCTCTCTCTCTCGATTATGCAATTTGGATTGAAACGATTCTAAAGTCGAGATGAAGACGTGAAGTGTGAAGATTGATAGGCGTTTTTGATTGTGGAACAGGTTTAGATCGGGAGGAGAAGCTGGCGGCGTTGGGATCGAGGAACTTTTTTCTTTGCCCGAAGAAGTACGCACCCGACGCTGAAAGCGGAGGTTGCGTGACGACGGCGTCGTGTTCTAAAGAAGCTGAAAAAGCAAACAGTATTGGACTTCCATGTCTCAAGTTCTGATTTTGATTCTCATTTGATTACAGCCTATTGTTCTCTCATCATCACTGTGAAATTTAGGCCTCTTTTGGAAGTGAATTATGGATGAGAAGTGAACTTTTTAATCTATGTTAAATTATATTATCGCTTATATTTTTATAATAATAATTGAGATCTCTTTTTGTTTTTTTTAGAAATTCTTACAATTTCTTTTGGATTTGTACTATTAATGGTGCGGATCTTACATATACATGAGTAGGTCTCAGACATACATTAATGATAGAGATTCAAAGAGAATTGTAAAAGTTTTCAAAAAAATAGAGATCTCAATTTTTATTTTATTTTTAAATCAAGAAAAAAAGGAAATCAGATTTTAACTATCTTTTAAAAAAAAAATATTAGAGTAGGAACCAATACATTTTGATTTATTTTTATTTTTATATTCTTAGCATTCGTGAGGTTGTTTGTACAAACATTTTAGTGGTGAGATGTTTATGTGAATTTAGAATATGTCCAGAATGTATATATATGGTATAGATTAAGGGGTTTGTAAAGTTAAGGTTTAGAATAAATTTGAATTATATATTATAAATTTTGAATAATATTTTTTAGATTTGTAAGTTGGTTGGATATTTAAATGTCCTCTATATATTGAGGCTTATTTTTCAACTTGCAAGTTGCTAATTCGTGGGTTGCTAATATGTGCTTTTATTTATTTATTTTTTAATCAACCAAAATTAGTGATTAAATATTAGATTAATGGTTAGAAGTAGTGATGGAGTTAAGAAATTAAATCAGAGGGCAATTATTAATTATAATATCAAAAAATTTTACAAAAATATTTCACATAAATTTTTACAATTAACATCAAAAAAGATTTTAAAAAATTTAATATTATTTGTAACTAATATATTATGGACAATACAAGAAAAGTCATGGATATAAGTTTTAAAATAAATTATATAATGACAAAATAATTTTTTATTACAAAATTTAAATAAGTACGACATATGATATCACCAATTAATAACAAAGAAACATATAAACTTTACATGTCTAATGTAACTAACGATCTAATAAATTTTATTTTCATAGTTAGATCAATTATATTTGCATATTAATAATAATAGATTTCACTGTTACATTAAAAAAAATTTATAAATAATAAAATAGCTTATCGTAGTCTTTTTATTTTCAATCAAAACAATTAGTATTATTTTTATAATTTTAAAAATTTCATTGACATTTTACTCTAAATAATATTTTTATTTAAAATATTTTCTTTATATTTCCAAGAAAAAAAAAATTCCAAAACCGAAGGCACGTGACCTCCGATCCCACAATACCTCCTTCCCTAGTCAGAAGAAGTTGAACCTAGGCCAAGTTTGGGAAGACTAAATAAGTGCACTTTTTATCTTTTTAGACTAAAAAGTTGAGGTTGAAAATATGAATGTTTGGGTTAACTTTTTGACTTTTTATGGAAAAATGTGTAATAAAAAATTGTAAAAATTAGTTTGTAAGAGAAAATTAGAATTGGAAATTGTGTAGCCGTAATTGTTGACTTTTGGTGAATAGTAATGACTTTTTAACTTTTTGAGTAACTTTTTGACTTTTTGACTTTTTTTAAACTACCCAAACTTGGCCTCAGTCTCGTTTTTGTTATGCCCAACAACATTTTCATCAAAGTCAATTATTTTTATGTTTTTAGTTAAAACTGTGAGTAAATTATTAAATTTCAACTCTAACAAACTATATATTAAGTTACTTATTTTAATTTTGATGCGTTAAACTTAACAAATGTAGCTAGTGGTTTGGACTGCTGAAATGTTATAAAATTTTACTTTTGATATTTTGCATTAGTTGTCTAGAGTTTATAAAAAAAGAAATTTATATTAAAATTAATAAAAATAATGTTTAAATAGCATGACATTTTGATATTTTGAATTAGTTGTGTACAGTTAATAAAAAATAATTTTCAATTAAAATTAATAAAAATAATGTTTAAATGGCATGGTGAAATGATAAAAACTTTGTTGAAGAGTACGTTTAAAATGTGTATAGCCAAAATAGACAAAAATAACTTTTAAATTAGAATATAATAAAAATTTAATTAATTTGATGAGGATGCTACACTAGTTAAGAATACATTAAATGAGTCCAACAACTTTGACTAGTATAAAATTGAAAATAGTAAATGAATATTTGGTTGGAAAAAATTTAATTCTTTTGTAATAAGACCAAAATATACTGTTTCTTTCTAACCATTTTTTTTAATTTACTTTTTAGGCCATTTTTTTAATTCCTTTTATGTTTGGTTGGAAAAAATAATGTTTTACTCTTTTTTTTTCTTTTCTTTTTTGCATTTTTAGTTTCGAAATTATTAATTGAACTTGTATAGTCTAATTTATCTACTATATCACTTTTCAGTGAATAACATAAAAGTTTTTTTTTTTAATGAAATAAATAAAGGTACATGTTTAACAAAAAATAATGCTTTTCATAAATCATGTTTTAAAAAGGAACATGTTCTTTTTTAAATGAAAGACAAGTGTTCATTTTGGGCTTTTTGTTCTTCTTTAGTGAGCTTTTTATAGAGAAAAAATTCAAAAAAATTATACTTTTTAGTTTTATTTGACTAGACAAACTGAAAAAGTAAAAAAAAAGTTGCCTCTTTAAAAAAAAAAAAAAGGCTTATTTTTATTTTTATTTTTTTAGATTTATCTACACAACAAAACGGACCAAAAAGTTTTTTAAAAAATACATAATTTAAAAAAAACAAATATCTCTAAAAAAAAAAAAAGACTATTCAGTATGTTTGGTTTCGGTTTTCCTGAATTCAATTTTCTGAAATTGAGTTTTTTTATTTTTCGTGTTTTTTATTTTATTTTTAGTGAATATTTTTTAAATTTTAAGCAATTTCCTTACTTCTTTAGATGCACCTTACTTAAATGTTTATAAATAGTAAAATATTTGTGAAGAAATACTTTTAAAAATTAATAAATACACAAAATACGAAAAGCGTACTGAATTTTCATATTTTTTAAATATTTTTTGATATTTAGTGTATTTTTAAAAAAAATTCACAAATATTATATTTTTTAAGTGTGTTTTTATGTTAAGTGTGTCTAAACATTAAAAAAATTACTAAAAATATTTAAAAAATTTATTGAAAACATTAAAATATGAAAAATAAAAAAATAAAATTTTCTAAAGATTATTTTTTGAAAATCAGAACTAAATAAGCTTGGTATTCATACAGTGGCTATGGCGAATAAGAAAAACTGCATAGCCACTGTAAGCAATCCCTCACTCTTTCTACTAAGAATTTTCCTTCAAAAATCACAAAATTTCTTTGGTCTTCTTGAGTTATCGTTATCCTTAACTTCAATGTATGCTTGGTGGAGGAAGAGGCGTACAAAGGGCCCTCCATTGTTATCTTGTTTGACACACTTGCATTGTGTTTTGTTGAGAAATTTAAAGAAGGAATTTAAAATAAAAAAAAAGTATGTGAAATTAAGTGAAATATAAGTATATTTTATTCATATTTTACTTAATTTTTCCTTTTTTCTCTTCATTTCCCAATCTATCATTAAATTTCCTAACTAAACACAACGTAAAGGACTTTGCTTGAACTCTTATTTGGTTTGTTTTTTAGAAAAAATTTTGAACAAAATTCTCTACAAACAAATTTTCAAGAGTAATCAAACCAAACAAATTTTTCAAAAAAAAAGCTCAAAATTTTGTTTGGTTACCTACTTTCCAAAATCACTTTCTCTTACATACACATCAAATCAATCACTTTTCTTAAAAAAATTTCTCCAAAATAATTTTTCAAAACTATTTTTGAAAAAGGCAAACTAAACAAGTTTTCGCACTTTTTATCTCAAAAATCTACTCTACAAATACAAACCAAACACACCATAGTGATCCATGTTTCTAACTTTTCACCTTGCACTATTGATGATTCCATGAACATTGGCATTTGACAAAGACTCGCGTGGAACACCTTCAAAATGCTACTAGACCTCCTTTACCTTCTGCTTAGAGAGACCATGTTAATGGAAAAAATTCTATACAAAATAATAAAATTTATTAATTTGTTTTACAAACTGATGTATCACGTAATAAACAAAATTTAAAATACCAAAAAAGATTACTTCAATAATATGATTGGTGTTACATTTGAGAGTAAAAAAATCGTAAAATTTTCCATGTTTATTGTTCGGTAACTTTATTAGAGATCCAACGATATGTTTTATCTCGCATGAATAGTCCAGTGGTGAAGGGGTATGGTGTCGTTTAGGAAGAGTTCATTTGGACTCTTTTGGCTCTTTGAGCCACAAAAGACAGAATAGGCTATTTGAGTCACAACAGACAAAACATCACATCTAATCCATAATCATTATACTCTTCTTTTACAAAAAAAATTAAAAAAGTCAAAAAGTCCTTCCCAAACCAAGCTTTTGAGTCCAGGCTCACATAATCAAAAAAGTTAAAAAGCTAAAAAATCAACCCACTTCCCAAACACAGGCAAAATAAACTCTCAAATTAGACATATTCGACTCACATTGTTGTTGCATTCAGTCTTAATTAATTGATATATGTAGTTTATAAATAGTTGATTGCAAGGTGAATCCAATGTCACCCTCAATAAATAAATAAGTAAAATAAAAAATTATAAAAAATAAAAAATCAATCATTGGGTTTTATCGAGTGACCAATTTGAGGGGGGAGGAAAAGGAGATTCTGCATTTTGTCTTCACCCTAGTTGAGAAGTTGACTTGTTGGGTCATTCTTTCTCAACTACTAAAATGGAGTTAAAAATTTTAAAAATAGGTTAAGTTGGTGGCAAGCAAGTAATGCGTTCCAACTAAAATGTGTGTGTGTGTTTTTTTTTTTTTTTTTTTTTCGGATAGTAAAACTAAAAGGTGATTGGGATCTCAAAACTTTGATAGAGTGTTTCACTTATTGATGACTTCACTAATTGAATTTATTAATTTTACATAGATCCGATATGGATTTCTATCGAGATGGCATTTAAAAATGATTAAAAAAATAGTGTATTGGCCCCTCAAAAATCCATTGCATTCGGTTTACTTTTAGAATAGTAATTCTGATTAAAAAATTTTGGAACTCTTTTTAAAATTTATAATCAAACTTATAACTCAAATTTTAATTTAAAGATTATTTTCAAAAA